ACGATTGCATATGCCATTGCCATTACACCCTCTCTAGTTTGACCAAATCCCTTGTCAGCCATAGAAACGCAATATTCAGCTAATCTAGCCTCTTCTTCATCAGTTAAAATCGTTGGAGGGCCAGACCGGCAATTCATCTTTACCGTTCCAGCATCACGTCTTTGTAAAGTTTCTAACGGTACATTATAACTTATTGCAGCCTCACGTAGACTCATCATTTCATTTTTGACTGCCTTGCATGCCTCCTTCACGCTCTCTTGATTCCATTGCTTTCGTTTTACTTTTGATGCCATGTATAGCTAGTTCAAGTTGTTGCCTAGACATATAAATAACCAATTAACAGGCTTACAGTTAGCTGTAAACAGTGGCGGATCTGGGCCCAGGCCTAGACAGGCCATGGCCCGGGCATCAGAAGTCAGTAATGAGATTCATTAGATGCAATGTAAGCAATTCCCTGCCTCAAGTTTTGATAAAGCCAACCACAAGCCACACCAGAGTACCTACAAGTGCTTGAAGAGCATTCTGGCACTGCATAGATGAGGAAATTGTTGAAACCCATCATAAAAATGGCCAAAAGATGCATAACCATAAAATAACTGGTTGAAAAGTGGACACACCCACTTCCTGGCCCTACCATTAACTTGCACCCAGATCCGCCACTGGCTGTAAATTGAAACTAACTAGTAACAATAACATACCTAATAAATGAAAGAACCAAGTGACAAAGGTGAGGACACTTTCTTTCACGAGGTGAGTGCGCACTAATTAGAATGACCTTTGATCTTTAATGGCCCCGATTTGCAAATTTGATGCAGTTTTTATGCAAGTATGCAAGCTGACGAGAGCACTTTTAGCCTATCAGCAGATTGTTTATGTAAGTAGGAAGTAGTGCTATAAATATTAGGAAGAATTATGATAGTGTCTCATAAAACCTCCCGTCCCGTAATAGTAGCGCCTACTATACTCTATTTTGTTTATGCATCTTGTAAAGTTGTAACTAAATTAAATAGTAGTCTTGACATGAGTCCTTGTTCAAGAAGCAGTGAGAGTATCATCTTCCTTACAATCCTGTCCTGTGTTGTTCCTGTTGTCAAGTTCGTGAGCATAGTTTAACATTATTATTGTTTGTAATTTTTCAAAATACAACTTATTAATTATTTATTTTCATAAAACAATGATATCCAAGATTAAATAACTTATCTTAGCTAGAACTGGAAGCCTGGAACCTCCACTAAGTATTGCAGTTGATCCAAGCATAGCTAGGTTAAAAAATGCTTGCTTTTCCCAGTTCTGAGATCTGAGCATGCGCGACCACACCCAAATTTTGGAGCACATGCCACATGTCTCTTTTAACTAACAAATGGTTGAATGAGGTAAGTTTTAACTGATCCTGCAGTCATAGTGTCACTTCTTCCTTTCTTGGAGAATGATCTAATGGGACATGGCCCTATGCATAGACTGTTGGAGTAGAATGGTGTGAGAATTAGCCTTCTAGCACTAGCCAATTTTGAGATACATACCGACAACTGGATTGACAGGAGATGATGATGATGATGAAGACAACTGAACAAAATGGCCGTTTTGCCGATTTTTGACTTTTGTCTTAGTCAGGGTCTAGAGCCATGCTAGTGGTACCAATGGAGTCCTCTGGTCATGATAAGGTCCTCTAAGAATTCTGGTAAGCATAGGAGCTCATTTTTCCGGTATAGCAAGGCTGCAAAAGTCTTGGCAGCCATAATGTTTTGGGGTGAATCCTACTTAGTAACGCTATCGCGTTACTAATAAGCATACACTTTTGCTTTATGCCTAATTTTACTATTATTTTTAAGTGTAAACGTTCTCATTATAGGCCTTATATTATTGACTTGGATTCTACAAATGGGACTTTTGTTAATAATCACAAAATTGATCCAAGCCGGTATGTAGAAGTCAAAGAAAAAGTACAGTGTTTATTTGATGTAATTATTCAGTTGAAACATTAGGATGTTATAAAATTTGGATTTAGTACCAGAGAATATGTTCTTCTTCATGAAAGTTCTAAAGATGATGACAGTGACTTTGATAATAATGTTGATACTCCCTAATAAAAGTTATAGTTAAAATACAAACCTATATATTGTGGTAACTAGTAACGGTGTAGTGACAATGAGATTTTCCATGCACGCTTGCTTAGGTGGGAATTAAGCAGTTGAGATGTCATTTTGTCACAAAAATTTTCATTAATTTAAATAAATTTTTTTTGAACTCTCTTGAGTTTTATATGGCATTCAAAAAAGTCAATATCTTCTGCCCAGCTAGTTCAATTGTAGTAGCAATTTGTGGTAGCAAAGCTAAATATTATCAAGAATGGACCTCTTTGTCTTGCCCAAGCTTTTGTGTTTCACTCTGTGAGGTCAAAATTAGCATATATATATAATGGTGCGCTGGTGGTTACTATGGAAACGTTTCATGTTTAGCAGGAGTTGTTATGCCTATAACTACACTGCATAGAGTGTGGGGGTTTACAATTAACATACAAACAGCACTGCAAAAGTGTACCATGGTAAAGTAAGATACCTCCTTGTCTGGAGGTGGTTATGGGTTAGTACTAGCCAACATCAAACAGCGAGGTATCTAGTCTGGTCCCGCCTCTTCGTTGTGCAGGGGAGCCGCTAAAGAGTCTGGTGACACTTCTACAGAATTGCACAGGTTTAAGTGTACGAATCAGATTACTGCACTCACATGGAAGCCACTTTGTTATGTACTCTATTCACAATGGCTACAAGTATGACCAACAAACCTGCTGCAGATATTGATAAACGCTAGCAAAGGAACAGAAACTAACTAAGGAGGAAGTAACAGAAGAATGAAAAAATCTCATGTTAAACTTGCTCTAAAGTATACAGATTTTCTTTTGTCACTCCCGTTCTTGAATTAATTAGAACTTTGATGGATTTTTATCTTGGCTTTTATACTGCAGCTCTCCTGAATCATGGAGGCTTACTTGTCAAGAAAAGCCTCGAATAGAAAAGTTATCACATGACAGAATGTTTTAATAACTTTAATAACTTGTAATTATTGCATTCCTTTCTGCAACAAATTTTGCAGCAGTATCACCAGACTTATTTGCGCCATGGGCACTACTAAAACGAGGAATGAGAAATGGACAAATATGAAATAGCAAAACGAAGAAATGGGATTATGGGAGGTGAGACTAGAAGTGAGGGACTTCAAGTTACTGGAACAAGTCCAATGGAAGGCTACCAAATATATCTTGAACAATTTTGTCTCTGACTAGGACACAATTAATGTCTCTAAACATGATACCTTTGGTGATGATTCTCGAACTGAATGATATATCCTTCTTTGTCAAAAATGTAAAAACCCATCCCCATCCTTTGATATTCTCGACTTTGTATCATTCTCCAACACTACAACCAGGGCCTCTTCAGGATCTAAACTGCAATATAATTTTGCTTCTACTAGTATAGTTCGACACTCCTTAGTACTTCAAAAGGCTACCAAGATTATGGAATTCTCTTCCTCCTATGGACCAGAGTCTCCCTATCTCCACTGTCTTATCTTGTGTCAGAACCTACTTTTGAGAACAATTTCTAGCCAACTTTGAATCGGAATGTTCATGTACATATCATCTATTATGCCCGTGTAGCACAACTTATATCCCACACCTCCATCTACATCTCGGTAACTTCACTTATTATAAATTCTAGTATGTTTTTGTTCGCTTTTAATCATAATATTGTCATTATTACTGTAATTATCTACTTGATTTTACTATTATTACTGTTTGTAATTTTGTATCTCTCCTATTCCTTCTCCTCATCTCTTTCTCTCTTGTCTTCTTTTCTTAATTTAATATTATCTGAGATTATGTATCTCTCCTTTTCCCTCTCCTCATCTCTCTCTCTTGTCTTCTTTCCTTTTCTTAATTCATTATTATCTGTGATTTTGTATCTCCTTTTCGCTCTCCTCATCTCTTTCTTTTCTCTTCATTCAAGGCTGTCCTAGTGACCTAGGTCAGTCCTTCAGTGTTCCCACTGCAAACATATTCACTCTTAATTTACTACTCTCTTTTACTTGCACTGTAAAGTTATAAATAAATAAGTAAATAAGTAAAAGTAATTGTATCCACCAGATCCCCGTTAACTAGATTAGTGATATTCATAGGGATACCATAAAAACAACAGACTTTCTTGGCCGCCATCTTGGGGGCATAAACTATACAGTAACCAATGAGCCAGAAAGAGAATCGGCCTGATCTGCTTTTCCGCATAACTTTGAGGCTCCTAATTGTTGCAGTGGTAAAGAAATGGAGATTAAAGTTGGAATCTTTTCTCTCTGGATGCAGCTCCTTTGCTCTGCTGGCAAAACGGTAAAGTAACACCTTTTCCCCATTGAAGACTGTACAAAGTATACCCCCAACATGGCAGCCAGAATAATTTTTTCATCTACGGTATCCAAATGAATATCATTAAAAAGTCTATGAATATCATGCATCTCATTCACACGGATGTGGATGGCTAGTTCAATATTACGCTAGTCCTAATGTTACATTGATGCTGGAATTGAATCTGGATCGATTCCAGCAGAAAGCATGTGTCAAAAGGTCAAATCACCCACACTTTTGATTAAAAATTGACGGTATGTTGGCCTAGTGTCATATTGTGAACCAGACTTAACGCCTCCTTCACATGCAGTGTTGTAAATGGAGGATCACAGTGGGACTGATTTGTCGAGCATTTGCAAACAGCTGAAGAAAGTTGGAATGATGATTGTGAGAATGTTTCAGACATAATCGATCTAACAGTTCTAAGTATGAGTGAAGAGGATGATAAGTCATTGTTTTAAGATAACCACTCATGTGGCAAAAAATGCCATTTTGACTACCAATTTTTGTTGGTGATTGCCAGGGTGACACTGGATTGAGTAGCAGTGGAGATGTCAATAGTAGTGTTCATGATGATGATAGTGACAGTGATTCTGCTTCTGAGCCTGCTTTTCATCACAAGCATGTTAAAATTTTTAAGCCAGATGAATGATACTTTGACTTGTAGGTTTATTTGTGGTTATGTTTATGGTACAGCTGCTATGCCTGCTAATTTTTACAATGATGATCCAATGCTGCTAGTCTATAGTAGCTCAAAGTGGACTCCAACTATTGAGAAAGTAGCATATGTTTTGATTGGTTGTGAAAGGCTAAAATTTGTATTTGTCTCATTGTAACATTTGTGGTTGACCTCAGTTATTTGGATGCTGCAAATGATGTCAAAGCTGATGAAATGGAGTGTGGCTTAGGAAAGGCTCACCAGTTGCATACATTAGCATCCATAGCAACTATGAAGGAAGGAAAGATGTCTATCGCTGCTCCAGAATGGGTGCAGCTTCTTATCATTTTTAAATCACTAGAACCTACTATAGGCATTCAGCTTCCCCTGACTTTTGTCGTACTATCATTACTGTACACAGTAAGTCCTTCCTATAATCAGCTGATTGACATCTAATTTAAGTGTATTTTGCTTGCAGCCATTCCTATATTTGTGACATGCCTCCCATTGCTATAGGGAGGAACCATTGTCAAAATAATGTTTTTGAACTATTATTTGCATGGCACTTATAAATATTAAGAATGAATGCCTAGACTTGACAATGGTTGTGTACGCTTTTGATCGAAAAAAGCATGCTATCAACTTAAAACAAATGGTAATTAATTCCAAGAACAACACACCTTTTAAACAAACCTAGGCGAGTACTGTTATTATGCTGAAAGAGAGAGTCAAAAGCAAGCCACCAATTAAAGTCTTACGTGAAGTTGGTAATATTGGGGGAGGAGTTATGAAAGTGACTTCTTCTTGTGACCTTCCTTGTAATCATAAACAAGTTTATAATTTGCATAACAAGAAGAATAAAAGTGGTGTTTATATGTTTCGTCAGACGTGATGTATGTGTGCAAAGAGACTGAGAAAGATAAAGATAAATAAAGATCTGTGAGGTTGCTCCTGAGCCTATGTGCATTTTATGCACAGATCAACAGCTACATGATTTAGAAAAATTCTGAACTGACAAACCTTTTTCTGTTGTTTCCATTGACCCTAAATTTTAACTTGGGTTATTTTATGTGACACCTATATTGTTTCGTAATTTATTGCTAGAAACAAAGAAGGTACTCACCCAATGTTTTGGCCAATATTAATTCATCGGACTAAGCAGTTTCACCCATTTCACTATCTAGCTTTAACTTTAGTTTGTCTCAAACCTACTCTTTCTGCAATTAAATGCTTTGCCACAGACGAAGAGTCAGAGCTTATAAAAGCATTCAAGCCTGTATTCCCCCTGCAGTTCATTTTAGGTTCTCAAATCATTTACATCAAAATATGAAGCAGAAATTGGCATCTTTGAGTTTGGATCAAAACATTCGGAGAGAAATTTTAGCTCATGTATTTGGGAAGCAGGTTGGAAGTCAATTTGAATTTGGTTTAGTTGATAGTGAAATTTCTTTTGGAAAGTGCTATCAAGATTGAAAGAGCATTAGAAAAATCTGGAACATAGCTATAAGCCATGTGAAGTACCTCAATTCTTTTATTGGTTTTTTACTCACAAAGCGGAACATTTTGCAGACTGCATCATACTTGAAGTTAGGAAGAAAGCTGGTTTATTGAAGCTGTTTACTACAAACAGTTCGGAGTCTATTAATCACGTTATTAAAATGTGAAGTTGAATGGAAAGAAACAAATTGCCTGACCTCATCAAGCATTTGAAAGGAGTTGTTGAGTAACAAGTGTCTGAGCTACAGAAAGCAGGTATCAGCCAAGGAGATTAGAGGTTTACAACAGAATATTCTAAGTTATGCATAGTTTGGTTTCCTGGTATGACAAAAAGAAACATATGAAAGATGTATATGCCTGTAAGCCGCCTAAGCAGGCTACTGTGCCATTGAATCACCTCTTCTTGATGTCTCAATTAACTAAAGGCAATGACAGTACTAGTTGTAACAGTGGACAATGGCAATCTAATTCTCGAGCTAAATCTAACCCTCGTGACTCAACTAGTTCAAGGCCGCCTAAATCTTCTTCCACCAATACTTGTGAGGACAGTCTGGACTTATGCAATTGCGATTCTGTTATATTTGAAAGTAGAAAAGGGGTCCCTGGTGTAGTGTACGACACTGGTGAAGGTGACTCTGGGTGGATCGAGGTCAAACCTTACAGAAGAGGTCGCTCCCGTGATTCTCCCTGCCGTTCTGACTCTGAGTCATCAGAGGAAGGGGTGCTTGATAAT